CCCCTCCCCTGGGGCACATTCCTGCCAGAGGTGGCCCCCAACGACCCAGCTGCCCCAATGCAGGCCTCAGTCACCGCCCAGCCCAACCTAGGCCCCCGCACGGCAGTCCAGCCACACGCCACTGCCTCTGCGTAAATCCCAGGAACGGGAGCTCACCCCGGCTTCCTCCCTCTCTGAGCGGCTCTGACAGCGAGATGACGCTGTGCCCCTGACCCTGGGAGGTTCAGAATCACCCACTCTCAGAACCCACCGGGCAGAGGCAGGTGGATGGACCCCATGTCCCAGCCCACTTCTCTCCAGCCTGACACCTGCCATCCTGTCCTCTCCACTCCGGGGTTAAGGCAGACCCAGAGCTGTGAGCTCAGAAACAACCCTCCCCTTGACCCACCCACAAGGTGACACCAAAGAGGCCAACCCGGTGTGGTCTGGGGTCCAAGAGGCGGTCATCGGCTGCCTACTCCAGGCCTGCGAGACTGTCCTGAGAATGCCTGGATAAAGACAGGCCGGGTGCAGAGGGGTCAGAGGCCGAGGCCCAGAAGAGCACACAGTGCCCTGGCCATGCAGGGAGTGGCAGGTGAAGACAGTGAGGCAGTGTGGCCCGAGAGGTGCTTCCATCGCTGGCCCAGGACCCCTGCAGTGCAAGACCCTGCAGACACCTTGGGTCCCAGTCACCAGAGTCCCTTCATGCCCTCCGCTTGGAGATCCAAGAACGCCTCCCCCGCGTGCAGACACAGAGGCTCTGCGCACCGCACCCACCGCGTCCGCTGCAGCCCAGGAGCAGAGGGGGGTGGGGAGGCAGGCTGGAGGCGGGTGGGCAGCAGAGTAGGTGGGAGGGGGCCTCCCACTCACCGTCCACGTGGTTCCGGGACAGGTACTTGAAGGCCTCGTCCAGCAGGATGACAGGCAGAGATATCTGGAGCACCACCACCCACTGGCGCCCGCTCAGTGGGGTCACCTGGAAAATGAGCTGGCGGGGAGGGGAAGGGAGGTTTGGTGAAAGGAAGGACTGGCTGTCCTGTGCCCCAGCCGTCCGCCGGCCTTATCCACCTGGGCTCTGACGGACTGTCATATCCCTGGGCTCTGACGGGCTCTTATCCCCCTGGGCTCTGATGGACTTTTCGTGAGCACTCCTAAGAACCTCCTGGATGTACCCCCGATCTTTGTCCACTCAGCTTCCTCTGCCTCAAGGGTCCTCCCCTGCCCTTGCCCACTGGGCCAACTCCCATCCATACTGTTGGGAGGCGGGAGGATTCTGCCCTGGGAAAGCTCGTCTTCCTTCCACCCCAGCCTGGGCACGGTCCCTTCAGCAAGGGGTGTCCCCCTCTTCCATCCCCCAGGTCTGGGAGCTCCTGAAGGTAGGGCCACATCTGGAGGTGGTGGCTGGCCAGACCCCTCACCTCCCTCTCCTCCAGCTGGTTTCCATTGCAGGGGGGCCAGAGGGGCCCAGCGACCAGCCCAGGGCCTGTGATGTCCGGGGACCAGGGCAGTGGGACAGACGGGGTGACTCACAGGCAGGGGCGGCACGAGCAGGATGAGGAAGTGCAGGGCCATGGACATGGCCACAGCCGCCAGCAGCCAGGGGTTCATCCAGGGCGGCATCCGAAGCAGTGACTGGTTCTCCGAGACGCTGCCAAGGCACAGGGCGCTCCCCTTAGGCTGGGGTGCAGGGAGGCCCTGCCATGGGCACCCACCCCTGTGGGAGGAGCCTCACCACTTCTCCAGCAGTGCATCGCCGTTGCCCGCTCAGCCCACCAGGGCCTGTCCCGGGCTGGGACCCCTTTCTCTGTCCCTCAGACCTAATCTTGGCTTATTTCTTCAGACCCCAGTTTCAGCCCTCTTTGTCCCCGAGACCTCAATCCAGTCCCCACAGACCCTCAGAATCCCCTCTGGGCCTCTCTGACCCTTAGACCCCAATCCTGGTCCCCAAATCTTTGGATCCCAATCTTGGACCCCCCTGACCCCCAGACCCTAATCCTGGACCCTACTTGGCTCCAGACCTCAGTTCTGGATCCCTCTAACTCCCAGACCTCAGTCCTGGACTCACCTGACCCCTGGAACCCAATCCTGGACCCTTGACACTCTGATCCCAATCCTGAACTCCCCAAACATCAGACTCCAACCTGAACCCCTTGACCCCAGACCCCAATCCTGGACCTCTCTGACCCCTAGACCTCAGTTTGGGACACTCTTGACCTCTGGACCCCAATCCTGGACCCCCTTGAAACTCTGATCCCAATCCTGAACTCCCCAAACATCAGATCCCAATCCTGGACCCTCTTGACTGGTACACCCCAATGCTGAACCCCTGACCCTCAGACACTGATACTGGAACCCCCAACCCTCACAACTGGCATCAGTCCAAGGCCCCAGCTCCAGGCCCTGCGCCCAGCCCACCTGTTGAGGGCATTGCACATTTCAATGGTCACGAGCACGGACAAGGCCATGGTGGTGGGGAAGCGCGACTCGAACACCTCACAGTCGACGCCGGCAAAGAGTGGGTTGTCTTCAGAGCACTTCAGGAAGTTCCTCTGGGGGCACCGTGGCAGGTAGAGAAAGCAGCAGGTCAGGCGAGGGGCTGGTGGGTGGGCGGAGGGAAGCCTCACCCTGCCCTTGGCCCACGCCTGGGCACAACCAGCACACAAAATGCCATCATGGGGTGGGCTGGGGATCCCGGGAGGGGCACAGGGTTGGGGCAGCGGTGGCGAGATGCACCGTGCCAGGGAGAAGCAAGGGTACAGAGTGGGAAAGGGAGAATGTTCTGGAGCAGGAGTGCAGTGGCTCAGGAGGAGAAAAGCTGGCATTAGCCTGGGGAGGCTAGCGGGACCCTGGAGACCACAGAATAGGGAAATGCATGGCTAATTTTTGTACTTGTAGTAGGAATGGGGTTTCATCATATTGGTCAGGCTGGTCTCGATCTCCTGACCTCAAGTGATCCACCTGCCTCGGCCTCCCGAAGTGCTAGGATTACAGGCGTGAGCCACTGTGCCTGGCCTTGTTTTGTTTATGAGACAAGGTCTCACTCCCATTGCCCAGGCTGGAGTGCAGTGGCGCGCGATCTCAGCTCACTGTAGCCTTGACTTCCTGGGCTCAGGTGGTTGTCCCACCACAGCCTCCCAAGTAACTGAGACTCCAGGCCTGAGCCGTCGCTGTTGGCTAAGTTTTGTATTTTTTGTAGAGACGAGATTTCGCCATGTTGCCCAGGCTGTTCTCAAATTCCTGGGCTCAAATGATCCACCCACCTTGGCCTCCCGGAGTGCTGGGATTACAGGCGTGAGCGGCCACACGTTTTTATTTGGTGCTGACCATAAAGAAGGGAAAACCTCCTGAACTTTGAACCTGACTCTGCCCACCCAGTGACCAAGAGGACCAAATCCTCCTGCCAATTGTGCCACTGTTGTCAGGCCTCACCCTGCCACATCTCAATGGCCTATCCATACATGTACACACAAATTAGCCAGGCATGATGGCGGGTGCCTGTAATCCCAGCTACTCGGGAGGCTGAGGCAGGAGCATCGCTTGAACCCGGGAGGTGGACGTTGCAGTGAGCCGAGATCGTGCCACTGCACTCCAGCCTGGGTGACAGAGCGAGACTCCGTCTCAAAAAAATAAATAAATAAAAATGTATCAATGGGTCTGTTGCTCTTGCCATAAATGCCCTGCCCAGTGATTCTGGGTTTCACCAGTAAGCACCTGCCACACACACACAGTATCCCCCAGGTCACTGGTCTCACTGTGGCCTCCGGAATTATTCATTAGAAGGTGTGCTGGGGGCCGGGCACGGTGGCTCACGCCTGTAATCCCAGCACTTTGGGAGGCCGAGACGAGCGAATCATGAGGTCAGGAGATCGAGACCATCCTGGTGAACACGGTGAAACCCCATCTCTACTAAAAATATAAAAAATTAGCCAGGCGTGATGGCGGGCGCCTGTAGTCCCAGCTACTTGGGAGGCTGAGGCAGGGGAATCACTTGAAGCCAGGAGGTGGAGGTTGCAGTGAGCCAAGATCACGTCACCGCACTCCAGCCTGGGCGACAGAGTGAGATTCCATCTCAAAAAAAAAAAAAAAAAAAGGTGCGCCGGGCTGGAGTTTCTGCCTCACAGGCACATGGAGAGCCCTGGAGGAGCCCATTTCTACTGGTGAGGCCATTGCTCTGCCCACTTCTTCCCTTTGCCTGCCTGTCTATTTTCTATTCACTATATCCTGCAAGACCCCCTTTAGTTTTCTTCTCTTTTCTTTTTTTTTGAGACTGCATCTTGCTCTATCGCCCAGGCTGGAGTGCAGTGGTGCAATCTTGACTCACTGCAACCTCCGCTTCCCAGGTTCAAGCGATTCTCGTGCCTCAGCCTCCCGAGTAGCTGGGAAAACAGGGATCTGCCACCACGCCTGGGTAATTTGTGTTTTTTTAGTACAGACAGGGTTTCACCATGTTGGTCAGGCTGGTCTTGAACTCCTGACCTCAAGTGATCGGCCCACCTCGGCCTCCCAAAGTGCTGGGATTACAGGCGTGAGCCACCACCCCAGGACGTGTTCTTTTTTTTTAGAGACAGGGTCTTCATCTGCTACCAAGGCTGAAGTGCAATGGTGCGATCACGGCTCACTTCAGCTGTGACCTCCTGGGCTCAACTGATCCTCCCACCTCAGCCTCCCGAGAAGCTACAGGCACACATCACCATGCCTGGCTAATTTTTACTTTTTTTTTTTTGGTAGAGATGGGGTCTCACTATGTTGCCCAGGCTGGTCTCAAACTCCTGGGCTCAAGTGATCCACCTACCTTGGCCTCCCAAAGCACTAGGATTATAGGCGTCAGCCACCGTGCCCGGCCTCCCCTCAATTTTTTTTTTTTCCTTGAGATGGAGTCTCACTCTGTCACCCAGACTGGAGTGCAGTGGTGTAATCTTGGCTCACTGCAACCTCCGCCTCCCGGGTTCATGTGATTCTCCTGCCTCAGCCTCCCCAGTAGCTGGGATTACAGGTGTGCACCACCACGCCCAGCTAATGTTTGTATTTTTAATAGAGACAGGATTTCATCGCGCTGGCCAGGCTGGTCTCAAACTCCTGACCTCATGTGGTCCACCCACCTCGGCCTCCCAGAGTGCTGGGATTACAGGCGTGAGGCACTGCGCCCGGCCCTCCCCTCCATTCTTGATCTCCTCAGTTTGATCCTCTGCCTAAAGTCCTACCATTTAGGGGCTCATTCCTCTGAGGCCTCTACGTTTTAGGGGTCCTCTGACGAAGGTAAGATACATCTGGCAGTGGGGCCCTTGGTCCCCGCTAACTGACTGGGATGCGGAGGGGCCTTTTGGCCTGGGGGGCCGTGCTGGTGTCTCTGGGTTTCCAGCGGGCTCTGAGCCTGGTTCCCTAGGTGGGGATGTTTATTCGTGTACAGCGAGTGGGGAAGGACACTGCAGGCCCCCCATGCGGCTCTGGACCCATCTCCCCTGGAACTCCAACAGCTCGAGCTGCAAGTTCAACAACTCCCTGGCCATCCCTTGCTCACCAGCTGGTAGAAGTTGACGTGAGGTCCCTCGGCATCATACAGGAACCACCAGGTGGCAGCAGCCACTGTGGCCAGGCCTACGTACACTGCGGGGAGGGGAGGAGACTGGCTGTAGAGAATGGCAGTGGCTTTCTGGCATCTGTTTCCCCTGCCTAATAATTCCCTGAATTCCGGCAGGGAGCCACCCTTTTCCTCTCTAAGCCATGTGGTTTGCAGGCACCTCCCCTCGATGCCAGTGGTGAGCCCTGGCTGGTCAATCAGCATCTGCCATAACCTGGGCCACAGTGATTGGAGATTAGCAGGTGACCCTGTGTGGGCCGATGAGAACAGGCCTGCTGAGACTTTTTGTTTTTGAGACAGAGTCTCGCTCTGTCGCCCAGGCTGGAGTGCAATGGCGCCATCTCGGCTCACTGCAACCTCTGCCTCCTGGGTTCAAGCGATTCTCCTGCCTCAGCCTCCTGAGTAGCTGGGATTACCGGCACCTGCCCTCACGCCCGGCTAATTTTTGTATTTTTAGTAGAGATGGGGTTTCACCATGTTGGCCAGGCTGGTCTCGAACTCCTGACCTCAGGTGATCCGCCTGCCTAAGCCTCCCAAAGAGCTGGGGTTACAGGTGTGAGCCACGTGTTGGCTGCGCTGGTCAAACTGACCTCAGGTGATCTGCCCACCTTGGCCTCCCAAAGTGCTGGGGTTACAAGTGTGGGCCATCACGCCCAGCCCAGGCCTGAGACTTTCATTATACTACCAGGAGAGCAGTATGATAAAAGGCACTCTCTTCTGCTGAATTTGGGGTTGTAATGGAGTGAGCATGATGGCTGGGGCTGCAGCAGCCATTCTGCTACCATGAGGGACACGGGCCTGAGAATAAAGGTGAGGCAGTGCCAAAATATGCCAGTGATGCTGAGACCCAGATCCAGCCGTGCCTGGTCTTTTCCATTACATGAGCCCATACAGTTTCTCCTGGTACAAGCTAGGCTGAGTCACACCGCCTGCACCTTGCAAGCCTGATACAAGGCTCTTAGGAAGCTTAGGAACACCACGGAGGGCTCAGGCCCCACTCACCTCCGATAGCCAGGTATCGGAAGAAGAGCCAGCCACTGATGAGGGCTTCTCGGGGGTTCCGGGGCAGCTTCTCCATGATGTCCAGGTCTGGCGGGTTGAAGCCCAGAGCCGTGGCAGGTAGGCCGTCTGTCACCAGGTTCACCCAGAGAAGCTGCACAGGGATCAGGGCTTCGGGCAGGCCCAGAATTGCCGTGAGGAAGATGCTGGAACAGAGTCATGGGCTCTAGCCCCCAGTAGGCCCAGCCCCCACCAGACGGAGGCTCCAGCTCTTGCTCAGACCCAAGGCTGGGAGCTCACCCACTGTCTCCAGGGCAGCCCCTCCTTCCTCCGCTAGCTCTGATGTGAAGGGTGTGTATACACAGCTCTGCCTCGGGCCTGGCCAGCCCTGCCTTCCCCAGTCCCAGCTCTGGATCCTGGACATACCTGCTCTTTAGGCCTAGCAGAGGCCAGGTACACACACACACACACACACACACACACACACACACGCGAAGACGGCATGCCCAAGCATCAGACATGTGCAAAAACCTAGCACGTGCCACACCATCCCGCAAACACAAGCAAACACCTACACGTCTGCCGTGAGGTGCAGAGATCCAGAATCCATCCATGTCCAGCAACACACATGCTCACCACTCCCCACAGGCATCCACACATGTGAATACAAGCGTGTGCACAGTCACACGCCGGCACACATACTTCTGCTTGTACTCACGCTCAAAATGCACAAGGGCACACATGCATACATATACACGTTACACGTACCTCTCAGGCACTCAGGCCATGTGCACACAAACACACATCCGCACACGGACACACACATGACTGCCTAAAAGTGTTGATTTTCTCTCATCTTGCTAATCTGCAAGTGGGAAGTTGGTGGCTGGAGGGCTGAGAGGCGACTGTTCAGGCACCTCCTTGGGTGCTGGGGTGACCATGATCCAGAGGTCACCAGGGCCTCTGGAGAATGACGAGGTGTTCACTGTCCACTCCAGGGTGGGACCCTGGAAGGCCCCAGCCAGGGTAGGGCACAGGCCCCTCCATCCCTGCAGCTCGGCCGAGGAACAGGGGCACAGAGCAGATTGAGAGGGCCACGAGGAGGGAGTGCCCGGCCTCACCAGACGACCTCGCCAACATTGGAGGAGATGAGGTAGCGGATGAATTGCTTCATGTTGTTGTAGATGGCCCGGCCCTCCTCCACCGCAGCCACGATGGAAGCAAAGTTGTCATCGGACAGCACCATCTCTGCCGCCGACTTGGCCACGGCCGTGCCTGAGCCCATGGCGATGCCAATCTCTGCTTTCTTCAGGGCCGGTGCGTCGTTTACTCCGTCACCAGTCTGTGGACCAGGTCAGGTAGGGCTGTGCCTGAGAAACTTCCCTTCCACCTCCCCATCTCCTCTCAGCTCAGCCCACACCCAGTCTTAGGGGATGTCCCAAAGGAAGCAGACAGCTGGACAGAACAAATGGTGGGTTCAAGAATGAACTTAGAAACTGGGCAGAGGATGAGGCTGAGGAGAAGGCAAGGGGTGCAGACCAGGACAAAGTTGGGGAGAATATCAAGCGTGAGGTCACGGAAGACGATGAGGTGGGGATGGGGATGACGGTGAGTCAGCAATGAGGGTAGGGATGCAGTCGAGGTTGGATGTGGGGTGGAAACTGAGGTGAGGGAGAAAGCTGAGGTCAAGTCAGGAATGAAGTCAAGGGGATGGCCCAGGTAAAGAGCCAGGCAGGTGCTGCAGTCAAGTCAAAGATCGAGGCAAAAGCAGGGGCCAAGTCAAGGTCCACATGAGGAGTGATGGCAAATGACATGAAGCCTGGAGTTGCGGTCAAGGTCAAATTGAAAGCCAGGCTGGGTACGGTGGCTCACGCCTGTAATCCTAGCACTCTGGGAGGCCGAGGCAGGCGGATCACAAGGTCAAGAGATCGAGACCACCCTGGCCAACATGATGAAACCCTGTCTCTAGCAAAAATAAAAAAATAAACTGGGCATGGTGGCTGATGCCTATAGTCCCAGCTACTCAGGAGGCTGAGGCAGGAGAATCCCTTGAACCCAGGAGGCGGAGGTTGCAGTGAGCTGAGATTGCGCCATTGTGCTCCAGCTTGGGTGACAGAGCGAGACTCTGTCTCAAAAAAAAAAAAAAAAAAAAAAAAAAAAAAAGCTATAATCTGATACAACAATGCAGACAGATCTCAAAAAAGCCCAAAACCAAAACAGTCCATACAGTATGATTCCATTCATTTGAAAATCTATGGCAGATAAAACTCATAAACAGTAGAAAAAATCAAAACAGTGATCGCCATTGTGTGACAAAGGACAGAGATGGGGAAGGAGTGTGCGGGAACTTCATGAGTTGATAGTAACGTGTCATATCTTTTTTTTTTTGGAGATGGGGTCTCAAACTCCTGGGCTCAAGCAATCCTCCTGCCTTGGCCTCCCAAAGTGCTGGAATTACAAGCATGAGCCACCATGCCTGGCATTTTCCTATCTTGAATAAGGCTGTGAGTTACACAGGTGTGAGCATGTTCCTAAACTCATCAGACGATACAGTGAAGATCTGTGTGTTTCATCGAAGGCAAATTTTACCTCAAAAAGGAAAAACAGAACCATAAACAACATTGCTCTCTGGTTAATATGTATCCTAAAGTAGGTGAGGAGGAAGTATGCCGATATCTGCAACTGACTTTGAAATACACTTAAGAAAGGATAGGCTAGGGATGGGCAAAGAATGGCTGGATGGACAGGTATGTGATAAAGCAAATACAATAAAATGTTAGTTGTAGAATCTAGATGACAGATATGTAGGTGTTCAGAATAAAATTATTATTATTATTTTCAGATGGAGTCTCACTCTGTCACCCAGGCTGGAGTGCAGTGGCGCGATCTCGGCTCACTGCAACCTCTGCCTCCCGGGTTCAAGCAATTCTCCTGCCTCAG